TTCAAATAAGTGAACATAATCCAACTGTTGAATCTTTAGTGAGGACAATATGAATATGAATTGATAAATGAGTAAACAGTGTTTCTTGCTGCGGTGATACTTCGATATTATGAAGTTCGAAAATTCATTTTTTAAGAAATTGTGAGCAGTCCTCGATGAAAGTAATTCTGCGTTTCATGGATTGATACCACAGTGAAGCCATGAATGACATGAGTTCCTACGAATGCATATGAATCGGGGAATTAATGGATTGTTTCTTGAGTCGCATTTCTTTTGCGTCTACGTAAGCGATAATCCATTATCACATTGAGTGGAGTTCACCAAACAGAATTCATTCGTTATAAGTAGATGTATTCGTCTACTTGTAATGTGGATTATCGATGCTTACTGTGGAACTCATCTCATTTCATATCAGCTAATTGTGACCCAAATATGTCGCGCAACATTAATTCCTTGACGTTTCGTAATCATCTCATTTACAGAGAATTCTCAAAGGAAAGAGAGAAAGCACGTGCGAGGGGCCTTTTTCAGAAATTTCGGGAAAAGCAACAGCTGGAAGAAGACTTGAAGGTAACCATCAATCGACTTGTATATCATTGAGAAATTGCAGGGAATGCTTCTAGTTTTGTGAGTCTATCAGTAAATCCATTGGATATATTAATCATTTACCACCCCTATAGTTCTATCAGGTAGCATGAATCTGGAAAGCATGTATCTCATCGAATCCGCCTCATTTCTCCATGAATTAACTGTTTCAATTCATCAAATGATGCTTTAAAGGGTTATTTGGATTGGATCAATCAAGCCGAAGATATCGAGCCAGTCAACGATGATGAACAGGAGGATGAACAGCAGTTTGCCGGTATACTCATGAACTCTTGATACAAACGCGGTTTAACACTTAAACTTTCTTACGATTAGACCTCGGATTCTGCTGGCGATACAAAGCGAATATAGTTCCATACGAACTTCGATACTTGCAGTCAGTTCGATAAGGATGAACAAAAGTCACTTATATTATGCCAGCACTTTATAAAAACATTAAATTAGTGACTACGGCAAATTCTTGATTTGCTTTATTGATGGATGGCTTCAAGCATATTATCAAATCATGTATCGTTGAGAGGTTAATTTTAGGTGAGGAGTTAGATGAGGAAGGCGAAGAAAAGACGGATGACTCAAGACCGTCATGGTTTAATAAACGTCTGAGAAGGTTACAGAAATTCAACAGGAGGTGTCGACGAGGATGCAGAAAGTTTGTTGTTATTATGAAGTGGACTG